CTATCAGATTGAATACATTCCAGGATTAATTGTTAAATATAAAAATAGAAAGTATGTATTGAAACGTACTCGATCAACCGCTCATTCAACATGTTGGTACTTCTAAATTTTTGAAACTTTTAACGATGATACAGCATTCATTTTAAAGTCCATATCTTTGTTTCTAGGGTAAGGGGCCGTATTTTATCTTCTTCCTGTCTATAATTAGTTTCGCCGATATCTGAACAAATCAAAAACAAACAAAAAAAATATTCGAGACACCTCATTTTCACAAGAACACAATTTTAAAATAAGCAAAATGAAATAAACATGAGGTTAATATTGTAAAAAGCAATAAAAATCATTATTATTAATGTACAATGTAATTAATGGTGTTGACAATTGTTTTTATTACTTATGACCAGCTATAATTCTGTATTTCTTTCTGCTCACATATTTTTTTTATTCAGGTCATTTTATAAATAGCAAATTTATTTTTACAAATAACAACTGATTAACATAAGTCGCAAGTCTACATTATTATGTTGCATGTTAACATAATTTATCTTGTATGTAGGGGGCAGAAATATGCCACTATAGTAAGCATTTCTTATTCATTAATTAAATCTGTCAAGACACGTCTAAGCTGAAGGAATTAAAGAGTGTGTGGGCCATCGAGGGTCTGCTATCTAAATCAAAAACCTTTTTGTTTTCAGATCCGCCGTCTCTATTTTTTTTCTATTAAAAAGAAGTTTTCTTTTACATTTATCTGTAACAATTTGAATCTGCACAAGTTTGACACTGCATTAGATATGGAATTACAAGCGTCTGCTTCACAAAATAAAAAACCAGGATGCTGACACAAGCCGCTGTTTCTTCGATATCTTTTCAATAGTTGGGTTATAATTCTCTCATCAGCCACCTTACGCTCACACCAATTAATGTCTTTGTATTGAATTTGATATACATGTATATTTTGACGTGAAGATCAGATTATCTTAGTTTTTATGTTTAATGTATATACAATATAGGACTTGTGAATATAAGTACATGTATTAACTAATCTTACTGTATTTATTTAGAAAAATACAAGTTGTTTGTTATACTTCTTTTTACATGGTTTAAACTTTGTTACCATTATTTGGGTCTTTTTTACTCTGACAATTACATGACTTCACCCCACTCCACTGAGCAAATTTCCCCTGCAGATAGGAGTACACAAAATCTTAGCACAGTTACCGATTGCTTAACACACTGCCGATCAATGACGTACACTACAATCTAAAAATGATAATGGATATTCCGATATCGATGGGGAAATCCACGTGCTATTTTTAGATGGGATATTTGAAATCTAAGAGGAGATGGCTAGGTTTGTTGTCGTTCTGTTTATTATTGGTTTTTCGTACCAAGGTAATACATTTTTATTTGTTATAATTTAGTTAGTCATTTTAATGTTAGATTTAATTAAGAAGTATGATTATTTAAAACTGTTCTTTCTTACAATTTCGATCTAAATTCTTCCATTTATGTAAGTTTGAGTTTCAAAATATGCATATATTTTTAAACAGAGAATCAGAGAATATATTAACGCCCTTTATATAACAAATACAAATACATGTATATGAGATCATTTTCTTGTCATCTGAACGTATACTTATAATCTTATATACACTATACAAATACAAAAGTCTATTAATCTGTACTTCTCTGCTATATAATAATGTACCTGATAAAGTATATTTCATTAATGAAAATATAATAATTAATTTACTTTATGCATTGATTCATTAAATCATTTCATTGTGAGTTTACTTATTTCTTTGGTTTTCCTTCGTTGCTTTTTATCAATATTGATCACCCGTCTGTATAATTTAACCCTTGAAGTAAGAGATATTCGCATTACTTACCGGTTTTTTGTGTTCAATTAAATAACCTGTCATATGAAGTGATAAAATCAAATAACTTTGTCACTCGAATTCAATAGATTTAAATTTTGTCTGCGTTTACAGAGGACGGAACGATTGTGTAAATTTAGACTGGTACGTGTACATGAATTGCCTTTCTCTTTCGTACGAAAGACACAGGTGATTGTTCCCTCAAAGCCAGGTATTCCGGGTTTGATTTATGCGCCGTCTATGGCCCGATATAAACAGCTAGCATTAGGCCTAAACATTTAGAAAGGGTTCAGCGAAGTGAAATATCTTTTGGTATGAAAAACTCCTGTGACACAAAAATCTAAAAAAGGAATATTTGTATTGTACATGTACTTGTACATGTATGTAGAAATAAAAGTGACGGCGTTAGATTAATTGAATCAAAAGCAAATAATACAGATATTGGTGAAAAAGAGCTTTTTAAAAAAGTACGGCGGTATAAGTGTTGAAAGCAGAATACTGTGTAGAAATAATAACAATATTTTTGTTATGTATTTTAGGCAACATCTCGTTAATCAAACTTTTCCCGTAGCCCGTCTGTAAAAAAAAAACGAGTTGGAGTATCAGTATCTAAAGCACTTTTAATACTCTTTCCTTTTAAAGGCTTCAGAAAATTTAATGTCGAATATCTTTCAAAATTTAATTTTGCCAATGCAAGATCTGTACGCAAAGAGACCTCGAGGTACCGATAATCATCTATGAAAGGTTGTGTCTAAATATCACGAACCTAGCGTATTTATGATTATTTATGAGGTACTTCTAACGAATAAAAAAAAAGTTCTCCATAAAAGCTGGTCTGCACTTTGTGCTCTGTTTTGGTTTCCCCGAGTTATTTAAATTCTACGTCAGCGAGAGTTTTTATCAGCCAATGAGCGCCGCCAGCAAAGGGGTCGCAAGGCCAGTCGTTCAGTAATTTTTTAAACACTTTAAACAAATTCACTGTTGGTTACTTCATTCGTAAATTTTATTACTATAAAATAGGACTATAATAGCTCACTGAAAACAATTATAGGTGTACAATATTTATAAATAAAAAAGTTGAAAAAGCAGTAACAAGAAAAAATTGATGTAACCATCAACTGTCGCCCGGGAAATAAATAAAGTAAACAATGAAAATGAGTCTTGATCATCAAACCGCATCGATATGTGTGAAAAAGGCATGCGTCTAAATGATGGAGACGACAGTCGAGAATATTTTGAAAACCTATAGTCGGATGAAAATCGAACAAAAACGATACCCTTTTAAACTTTATCAATTCCTCAAGTAAATGTTGGCTGTATAAAATATAAATTGAAACCAGACACATGCATCACCTATTTTCAAAAATGTCTATCACTTCAAGAATATAAAACACGAACTGTGTAAAGTACGTTTTTATGCGATAAGTAAAATTCGATGTTCTAAAAAAAGGGACCTGTCGTTTTTTCGATAGTAAATGATAAGCAACTTTATATATTAAATATGAAAAACATATATATTTTTTACAGATTCACTTCATGGAAGTAAATATATTGTGTATCTCGTAATTTATAAAGGGAAAGAACATTCTGATTAACAATCTTTTAAATGTTTAGAAAACCTTTAATTCTGAATAACTTCTCCCACCTCAATCCCCATATACCAACACTTAAACTTATATAGAGCAGCCCGGTCCTCCGGGCTGCAATAACAAAAGGATGAAAGGTCATCTTTACATGCTTTAGGACACTTAACTGCACATTATTTTTCAGTAAAACTTACGTCGTCCTATTCGCATACTTAGCAGTGGCGTATATTCCATATAGGCAAAAAGGCTGTAGCCTACACATCATTTTACCCAATGTGTAAAAATGAAATATTTATACTGCAGTATGTTTGAAAAAGAGGGAAAATGACCAGAAAACACAGCAATTATTTTGTTTGAATACAAAAAGCGAAAAAAGTCTTCTGGGCAAATTGCATTTCACTTATTCAACAATTCTTTACGGGATATATTTTTGTTATATTAGGAAAGCCGAAAAAAAGTTTTAAAAAAGGACGTTTCCATATTACATTAACACTTTAAAGGGGTGAATTATACAGGATTACAATTTCTTACTATTGTTAAGTGTTCATGACAATTCTATTTTCATAATTGCTATATAATTGCTCCCACCATTCTGTTCTTTTTTCTCGTATTTTTATTTTTTTCGTGAGTAACCCCCCTCCCTCCCCCTCATGGGCAGTGAACCTTCTTATACTGACACTTCGCGCCTGTTGAAGTCTTCGACTTCACATTAGCTTACACATGAACAGAAAGGAGTATATGCCAGCGCTTAGTACTACATACAGGGAATATTTCACCACCTTCATCCTTGTTTCTGTCGCGTGAATTTAAAACGAGTCGAATTCAAAGAAGATAGCATTATCCCTATATAATGCAAATGTTCTGGGCGAATTTGAAACGGGTCAAAATTACTTGCAAGTGTGAAAGGGCGAACATAATTATGTATACCGTATCCTTAATTCATTTTTTATATTTCTACATGCTAGCACAAGCATAAATTTTCCTTTAAGTAAATTATTTTCCATCTTCTATGCTACATAAAACCCAATCTGAAATACATCCCTCAGTTTCATCAAATGTTTCAAACGTTTCAAAGTGTAGCTGGTAATAAGTTTTAATATATAATAATAGACAGAATCCCTCATATTAATGCATACAATGACCTGATGATTCGATTAAAATCATATCCGTTTCCTTCTGTGTCGGACTTTACTAAATTTTCAGTTTGCCACGGACGACATGAGTGTTGGTGCCATTGAAGACAAATATGAGTATAAGTAGCAATTTATTTATCATATTTGTCTATCTACAGGGACATTCTCGTCGCTGCAGAACGAAAGAGAACTCCAAGAGGGTTTTTGTGAAAATGAAACCAAAACGTTTGTAGTCACCTTAGAATGCAGTATATCATCCATTAACGCAGCTCTAGAAAAGGAACCAAATTACCTTGTCCAGTGCTTTCGTCCAACTAGTGGAAACGTTTATTGTCATCCGGGTTCTTACAATAAAACCCACAACCGGCTTGAGTTTGACTTCACATTTAACCATGTAAAACACGCTGGAAAGTCAATACAGATAAGTTCAACGTGTTCTAACGGAACATTGTTGAAAGAAAGTCTAAACCTTCTTCCTTGTAGTAAGTTCCTTATCTTTTTATATACAGTCAAGCCTCGTTATTCAAGATTCAATGCTCGTTTTCTTAAGCAAATCGTCCGAATCCAGTGTTTTGTTCAGACTGCAGTTCAACTTCAATTTGAAAGTCCCAACGTCTTATTCTTTCAGTAATTACCTTTGATATCTCGAATACTTTTTTCATGGGTCCTATCGAATCCGATATAGCGAGGTTTGACTGTATTTTCTTTCCTCGGGTTATTGGGCAGATATTGAAACAATTAATGCTTAATCATTTTAAGAAAAAGTATAGAGGAAATGCCCCGTAGACTTTTTCTGAATCATGGGTCGCGGCCCATTCAGGACTGTGGTGTTGAAGTTCGGAATATACATGCACAGGCCATATAAATTTAAAAAAAAAATTAAAGTCCTTGTGATAAAAGTGAGTTAGAAAGAGGGTAGAAATACAATTTTTAAAAGACTTGGATAAACCTTAAATACTTTATTTACACCTTTCATTTTAGTTGAAGGTTTCACAGCGACTGGGCTTTACAATAGCACAGATGCCTGCATTACGTGCAAACACACTAGTTTTAAACAGTCCAAGGGAATGAGCATAATACATGGTGGGACACGAAATCATATTGAAACGTGCTGGTGGAATAAAACATCAATGCGAACGCATTGTCACCAACAATCAAATGGTATTTATATATTTTTTATTTTGATGCACATGTAAAAATGTTTTCCTGATGTTGAATGTGGAAGTATTGTGTAGGGACTTACGGCTTGTTGTTTGGTTGTGTTATAGGACATCCAGATGGAATAGGCTGCTATATTACACCTTACAAACCGGGTACTTTTTACTATTGCGAGCTAGATGGTCAAAAAGTTGAGGTGATTATGCAGGAGATAATAACCACTACTAAAGGTAAAAATATTAATTTTGAAAAACAAAATCAAAAGTTGATGATGATTACAAATATATTCCAAAAGAAGGGCAGTTTTTTTAGTAATTAACTTTGTAATAAAAACCTCATACATTTGACATACCAATAAGCTTGTACTTTAGAATCTCATCCCATCCTTCGATGGGAGAGAGAGAGAGACAAAGAGATAGAAAATGAAATATTTGCTTTATGAAAAGATTTATTATGAAGATTTATATGCGTTGTCATACAAAATGCAATGAATATTAATTTTTTCTTCTCAAATGTTCATCAATACATGTATCTTCAAAGTCAATTTAACTTTTCGTTCAATTCATTAATTTTTCTTTTTTAATATAGATTCCATATCAATTCCACATAAAAATGATACAGACAGTAACGGGGTTAATCCTCCAGTCCATGGACTTTACCATAAATTTATTCCATGTTTTATTTTCCTTCTAATTTCGAATGCTCTATTAACTTAATCTTTATCCAGTCTTTTATGAGAGTAAAACATGTAGGGGTCCCCATCCCTGATGGTACCGAAGCACAGTGATACGTACAGTTGTGCTACAGTATATGAAGTCGCCTCGGTTTAGTGATGCAACAACGATGCAATGAAACAAACGCAGACGATAAAATCAACATTACAATTTACAACGAAATGGACATCAGTAACGCAATACTTTGAGGATTGTATGGAAAGAGACATTTTTTAAACGCATTCGGCAATTTGTTATATCAAATTTCTATTTATTTGTACGCCCTAAATGTCGAATGAAATTGAACAATTAAATTCTTTAAAACAAATTTGAGAATTCGTTGAAACGAATATAGTTTGTTAAAACAAATGTTAAATTCGTTTAAACGTATATAAGGGGAACATCAGATGTAGAATAATGTTTTGAAATTTCATTTATTTAATTGTCATGGATAAAATTTTACCTGATACTCTTATTTGTTTTTACTTGCGTGTAGTTATATACTAGTAGTAATAAGAACACCAAAGATATAGTGAACTGACTACTGGAGTCTGCCATTTTGAATAATATTTTTGCGCTTGTTAAAACTTTCCAACCATCCTCATTTTTTTTTACGCCTTTGAGGCACACTGGCTCCAAGTTATGTAAGCATCAAGATATGAAAATGTGTCAATTTAGTACTCAAGATTTGTTCGTGAATTTGAATGTTATAAAGGAAATAAGATTGTAGTGGTTCAGAACTGAGAAAAGTAAAAGAAGGAATGAAATATATGTAAATAACAAACAGTACTCAAGCCCAAAAATCTATTTTTCCAAAATGCATTAAAAAATATTTGCTCCTGAAAAAACAATTTAGCCAGTCGGTCGGGAGAGGGCAACCTAACATTTATTTTAAAGATGGACTCAATTAAATACATATAGTAGAATTATGAGTGAAAATACTCGATATCCTAAAAATGTTCCAATGGTTATTCCATACTTTTGAACATTTTTGCGTGGACCCTGAGGTCCACCCAGAAAATATATTAGCGGAGTTAAACCGGATGCCATGGGCTTACGTCAGGCTACGCATGCGCGAGGATGCTAGAGAGTTCGCCTCTAAGACAACTTGCCCGTAGAACAATTCGCCCTCTACGAATTAGAATATGCCAATCATTGGCAAACCTCGCTCTAAAATCTGCACATCGTATTTATGTATTCTTTGGCGTAACCAAGATCTGAATTTCTCTTTAATACATATATCCTTATATACAAACTAAATTCTATGGCACAAGCTTTTAAATAAGTAGGAAGAACTTATAGAGATAGCTTAACAGCTTGAACATGTTGAATTAAAACCACTAGTCTTTGCCATGTTTACCGGCATTAGTTTTGTGCATCAAGGTTTGCAAAATAATTTGATAGACAGCAATCCAAATATAGCTTGATAAAGGCCTGTATCAATGTTTTTCCATGTGGGGGAGAGGGAGAAACATCTAAAAAAAATTCTGCGTACTACAGATCTGTGCTACACGTGTACCATCTATCTTTCCAATGATAGGATACTTCCGTATATAAACCAGTACAGATGTCAAGTCCCAGCTCGTTAAGCATTACAGGTATCGAAATAGCCCAATTTTTTTTCAGTTAAATGACAAAACTATAGGCCAATCGGGAATAAAATTTAACAATTTTGCTATGAAAGTACAATCACTCAAAATAGGCAGATCATTGTAGAAAACGTTAACGAAAGGTAAACCTGTGCCATTTTTCAGAGTAACCAATGAACTCGTCCATGGATGCATTGACGGTCGTTGTAACAAGAATAGATATGGGTTACCTCATATCCAAAATATTCGACTTTTAATTTACTCCATTTTTCACTAGAAAAAAAAACTGTACATGTTATGAAACTGGTGTATAGTTCTTCATGTCTGTAGCAAATACCGTCATTAGTCCAAGCGACACTAGCAAACGATACACACACCTGTGCTTGCAAGACCAAATAGCCTAGGTCTACACACGTGCGATAAGATTGTCAATCGCATCTTCTCAGACCTTCTGCTGTGTTTTTAAATTGATCGAGTTAATCGATAACTTAGCATTGTTTAAGATAACTCGAGACCCTTTAGTAAAGGGGGGGGGGGTTCTAAGTCACACCATAGGCACTTACATCCAAGCCCGTAGCAACGGTTTTCAAAGGGGGCAACCTCCAAAAAAGAGTTGACAAGCAGAAATAAATAAATAAATTAACAACCTGTGCACCACCCTGTAAAATCCTATTGGGGGGGGGGGGGTACTTCGTCTAACTTTTCGGTACATTTTGATTTCTTTTAAATGTTTGATTTTCTGTATTTTGAACCTTTCCGCAACAAAAAGTGCGGGGGAGCTTCCAATGCAAATTAAAACTTATATTTTCAAATTCTAACAAAAAAATTTTTTTAAGAAAAAGTAAGCCCCCCCCCCCCCATACTACGGGACATTTTTAACCTTTCTCTTCATTGATTAAAATATCCCCATAATATAAGGAGATAAATATTGTCCTTTACAAAAATTTTGATATTTCTTAGGCAAAATTTGTACATAACAATTAATTGTCATGTACAAATTTTGCATAAGAAATATCAAAATTTTTGTAAAGAATAATATTCTCTTATGGATACTCCCTTTCATGACTTTTTATGCATACTTCTTAAAGTTAGTTACTTTAGAAGATGGTCCAAAAATGGCATAGCCGTACGTTCGTTCGCTGGAATCTTCCGATGGTATCAAAGTGAAATATTTCATGTTACATGTGGGTGGTCGAGGCCCGGGACCGGTATTGTAAATGAGGGTACACAGAGGAAGCAATAAGCAAAACTCTATCTAGAGAGCAGAAAGGGCAGAGATTGAAGTACTTCATATTTTATTGAAAATACTAGATGTAAAAAAAAAATATATTACAGAATAAACATTCTCTCTCTCTTCCTTTTTCTGCAAAAATAAAGGGGGTTCCAACACCCGAACCCCCCCCCCCCCTCCCTGAATACGCCACTGGAGATTACGATACCTGCACGCTTAAGCCTCTTTTAATTCTGTTGTTAATTTTAAAGGCTAAATTACAATTGTGATAGATACCTAGATCAACATTTCATATTCATATCATTTCAAGGTCATGATTTTTCTTATCATTACAGCCTAGTTAAGCAGACTTAAATAACGATGAAAATTAGAAAAAAAGATTAAACTTAATTACACCTTTGTAAACTCACTAAATCTAGAAATTTTCTTTGAATTTCGTTTCGAATCACATGCATATGGTCCACGTATTGCAGTCCTTTTTTAAAGGACAGCAACTTGTTTTCTTTTTCATTGTCACCACTTAAAATTAAATTTCTAGATCCGTTCCTCTAAATGATCAGTTCTTATTTAATTTATACGCTGTCTTTTGAATACACAGTTGATACAAGACTATCGCGCATGCTCGTGTTCTATCAATATTATAGCATTTGCTTAGTCCCCTCGGTAGATGATATGGTGTGTGATTGACACAACAAATCTCTCTACTTCAGATCTACTTGTGTAGGTGAGTCAAGGGAGAATGTTTATCATTTTGGTTTTCATGACGCAATTTTTCTTTTGTATAAAGAAATTTGTACATTTGTGATTTATTTTTAAGTTAATCTAATATTTATTAAATGTCAGGAACCATTTTTCCAAGCAAGGGAGATTGTATTAAAACTTATTCAAAAGTAAGATTGAGAAAGGAAAAAAAAATGTTCAACGTAATTATTAAAATTTCCAATTTTTAATTATGATCTTTGATAATACCTGTACATCAGAGGTTGGAATGTTGTTATACCTTGTACAGGTACTATATATTTTAAACAGACTACAAAAATAGATCAACGGCGTTTTCTCTGTTTATAAATTAATTGTTGTAAAAGGCAATGCCGATGTATTTAATAAATCATCACAGACATGAAAATGACACAGTCAAGCAGAGGAACCGTGTCAAAAATGTTCCTTCTACTTAGATTCTAGTCACAGCTAACACATAAAATAATCTTGACTATTTAAATCATGGGTCCTGATATATATATACGAAATATATAATGGGAAAAGTAAGGCATTATGCATCTGAAATCATGAATTTAATCCATTAGAAACCTTAAATATTATTATAAACAAGCATTCTGAAAGTATTGCATTAGCAATACTAGTCCCCTACCGGCAAGTGTAATCTGGTTCCCGTTAAGAATTGAAAATGCCATAATTCCTTCAAAAATCAATGAAGCGGGGCGAAATGCAAACTTGATCTATAACTAATCAAGGTAAAGTCACATACCAAAAATCAGCACAATATCTGAAAGCGTTAAGAAGAAAATTGCGGAAAACCCCTAAAAATTGAAAAGGCCGTAATTCCGTCAAAAATCAATGAAGCGGAACGAAATGCAAACTTGATCTGTAACTCATCAAGATACACTAACATACCAAAAATCAGCTCAATATCTGCAAGCGTTTAGGAAAAAAGTGCGGAAAACCAAGTGGGACAGACTGACAGACAGACAGAGGGACAGACAGACAGACAGACGGACGGACAGACAGACAGACAGACGGACAGCTAGACGGACGGACAGACTCAGAGGAACACTAAAGTCCCCTCCGGTTTCACCGGTAGGGGACTAATAAATGGCAAAAAAGCGATGGAAGGTTTGCCAGGATTGAGGTCATCCCTGCAGTCTTTAATCTGACAGGACAGCTAATCAAGTTAACTGTTACATAATGTTTTGAATTAAGGAGCTATAAGGAACATCAGAGCTCATCTGATGGGTGTTTTTTTATTTGGCATATTAGTATTTTTAGTATATTAAATAAAGTGTTTTATTGAATCACAGGACATTTTTTACTCAAGTTCTAGAGGGGCTTTAGTTATCTAAAACGATGATAGGTCATCGATTTACTTGCTTTAAACACCGTATCTAAATTAAAAAGGTAAATATATATAAAAAAAAAATCAAGAAACAAATATGAAGCTTATCTTGAAATGACCGTATATTAAAAGATATTAAGTGTTAACTGCCGGATTTTATTTCATGACGGAGGAATAATGAATGATTCTCCGCAGCTGCAACAGTATCTCTACGGAATCTCTAGTAAATTTTCCCACGACCGTCAATGAATGAGTTCACTGGTGACACAAGGTAACCCCATTCTCTATCCAGAGTTGTTCCCGCTACGCTCCGACACGCCTTCTATACAAGATTCATGGACATTTTGTAAATGGTGAAAATTTGTATTAATAATCGTTTTTCAT